CTTCGCGCTCGCGCGCCTGCTCGCGGCCATGCCCCTCAAGGTCGAGCCGCCGCCCATCGACCTCGACGCGTCCGTCATCAACCCGCGCGACCTCTATTAACGGCCGCCGGGCGGGGACCAGAAGGAGAGCACGACGCCCAGGGCGTCGCGCGGGAGCGCGAGGCGGGAGAGCACGCTCATGAGCGGCCGGCGGTGCCGCTCGACGCGCGCCGCCCAGCCGCCGGCGTTCATCATCTCGATCATCCAGTCGTTGAGGGCGACGTGCTCAGGTTTGATCTGGGTCGATGTCAACGCCCGACAGGGAGCGCCGGCGCGGAGCAGCGTGAGGACAGTCTGGCGGCGGCCGGAGTGGAGAGCGAAGAGCAACGGTGTGAAGCCACTAATCTCCGCAGCAAGGTCCGCGCCGTAGTCAACGAGAAGCTGCACGATGGAAGGTTTTCCGTCGTGACACGCCAAATGGAGTGCCGTAAAGCCAACCGAATTCCGAGCGTCGACCTCGGCGCCAACGTCCAAAAGATGACGTGCGCAGGCTAGGTGACCTTTGCTTGCGGCATGATATAAGGCTGTTGTCTCGAGAGGTTGGGTACGCCCGTTCAGGTCGGCTCCCGCTTCGATCAGCACTCTCAAACATTCCTCGTCACCTTCACTCGCAGCAATGGCAAGTAATGGCATTGTTCCATTTTTTACTATGTTAAATGTGCAGTTCGGGCTCGCACCGCTCCGTAGCGCCGCGCGCAACGCCACTATGTCACTATGATATACAGTCTTCATGGCGCGCACGCGGGGCTTCATCCAGCCATCGCCTTGGTATTCAGCCGCCATCGTCCACGGCTGGAGGCTGCTCGGTAAACATCGGCTCGGCGCGAGAATCATCCAGATATCATCCGGGGTGGCATGGCCGCCTCCCTTGATTTGAAAGCTCCAGCGCCCCAGCGCGTCACGATGACGCCCTCAACCTCCGCGCGCGTCGCGCCGAAGAAGCGCTCGTCGAACAGCCTCGACGGCATCCGGAAGCAGTGCCTCGAGCGCATCAAGCGCGACCGCGAGGCGGCGCAGGCGGCGCGGCGGTCGGCGCCGGCGCGCGCCGCGTCGGAGGCGTCGTGCCGCGAGCGCGCGCGGACGATCCTCGACGACGTCCTGTCGTCGCGGGGCAAGCGGCGGCGGAGCGATAGCGGCGACGGCGAGCCGGACGCGGACGAGCCCGGGCCGCCCGCGCGCCTCTTCGACGGCGGCGACGACGACGACGACGCCCTGTCGGCGGAGGAGGAGGCGGCGCTCGTGCGCGAGCTCCTCGAGGAGATCCAGGCCTACGAGGCCGCGCGCGCGGACGAGCACGCGCTCGATCTGGCCATGGAGGCGCTCGCGGCCGAGGCCGCGGGCCTCGCCTTCGACGAGGACGAGGCCCTCGGCGCCGACGACACCGTGCTCTGCCCCGTCTGCTCGCGGGGCTACCTGCTCCAGGGCCGCGCGCTCGAGAT